AGTGATATTGTACTGAGCTCTGTCCAAAGATTCTGGCTAGTTGGTCAGCCATATCTTCCAGAGCGTTTTACACAAATTTAAAATTAAACTTGTAGCCGTGGGCAGAAAAAGTGTTTCCTTGACTTATCTAAAATGGTGATACCATTTACAGTTGAGGTTATTGTTTTGTAGTCCTTTTTTTAATTCTGTAAACGTTTAAAATGCTGTTCATAATTAACCTGATAATTACAGTCAAAATCAATGAAGGAAATGTTCCCAAGTTTTGCATACGGGATGCTGAGAGAGCAGTATTCTTCTTGTGGCTTGGATTCAAGCCAGCCTTCTCTGCAACAGCTGGTCATGAAATGTGACTATACTGATGCAGGCAGACAGACATGATGGTTAACTTGTGGCACTGAGGTTCCGAACCATGCTATTCTGACAAGAACAAAGACTACCCATCCGCATTAGGTTCTCCCAGGAGAATCACAACCTGCTGATCATCAGAACCAAATCCTCTATCCATATCATAATCATCCTGTTCTCTTAGCATTCAGCATTTCTGTGAGCAAAGTTTGGTCGGGAACCTCATTGCTTAAATGTTTGAAGTAGAGGAAATCCTCCAAGCGAATGGAGATCAGTCTGATTTCTGGCAGTCTTAAAAGAAGTTGACTGAACCTGTCTGTGACGTCAGGGTAGAATTGTGTGCAGTACTCAAACAGGGCTGCGTTGACTCTCTCCTGGCTCTGTTCTATGAAAGCTCGGTTCTCTAAACAGGACACATCTGCAAATGAGAAACAATCACAATCAGTGTTGGTACAAACAGCAAGAAGTAAGTGTACAAGAATACTGGGATATTAACTCTTTCAGTTCTAAGTTACTCCCTGTATGTTTGTTAAATACTCAATCAGTTTTATTGCGACCGTTGTGATGTTAGACACTCGCCTGCGGATCTGGAGGTCATTGGTTCAAATCCAAACAGAGCTGGATCTTTTCTTTTTAAATGACCTTGGCTTTCAGGTTGATCCAGCCTCAAATGGTTTGATACCGAGTAAAGCCCTGGGAAGTAAAGGCGGCTGGCATGATGTTAACCACATTACCCCCCAAGTGCCGACTGGTCAACAAATTACAGGTCTAGCCCTATGTGTCCAATAAACCTAAAGATGTAGGAAAGTGTCCTTTGCTACTGGTGTTTTACATTTATTTACCTGTTCTGTCAGATTCAGCTACAACCCTAATCTATTCTCTCTCAACTGTTAATAAGCTCTTGCTGCCTCCTAGCTGTGACCTTTAGCTCTGTTAAGATTCTGATACTGATACTGTTTATCGTTGATAGTTTTATACAGCAAATCAGCATCATGGCACTTGGGAAGTTACCCATAAGTGCTCGGTTCTACTTCTAACAACTCAAGCCTGAGTCTAAAGAATTTCAGCGCAGTGCACAAACTCCTCAGCACCGGCAAGGATCCTGAAAGACTGTTACTGGAAAGTAAACAACCTGTAGATACTTTATTAAAGAAACAAATGCCTGGCGCTGATAGAGTTAATGAGATTCATCCTTCAGATTTCTGATTGAAAATTATGATTCTGTACTCTCATCAATCGGCAGGTCCTGTACAGGATGTCGCTCTCAGCACGGCACACCTAAAAGTCTTTCTCTAGCTAATTATCTAGCCTTGTGTGCTTTCATAAACAAAGCATCTTTAATGTCTTGCATCCACTTGCGTGGAGGTCTGCCAATGTCTCCTTTTCCAGAAACTGTGGATACTTAACAGAACGTCTCTCTCAGCAAGGCACACCTGAAAGTATCTCTTTCTCTACCTAATTATCTAACCCTGTGTGCTTTCATAAACAAAGCATCTTTAATGTCTTGCATCCACCTGCGTGGAGGTCTGCCAATGTCTCCTTTTCCAGAAACTGTGGATACTTTACAGAACGTCTCTCTCAGCAAAGCAGACCTGAAAGTATCTCTTTCTCTAGCTAATTATCTAACCCTGTGTGCTTTCATAAACAAAGCATCTTTAATGTGTTGCATCCACCTGCGTGGAGGTCTGCCAATGTCTCCTTTTCCAGAAACTGTGGATACTTTACAGAACGTCTTTCTCAGCAAAGCAGACCTGAAAGTATCTCTTTCTCTAGCTAATTATCTAACCCTGTGTGCTTTCATAAACAAAGCATCTTTAATGTCTTGCATCCACCTGCGTGGAGGTCTGCCAATGTCTCCTTTTCCAGAAACTGTGGATACTTTACAGAACGTCTCTCTCAGCAAAGCACACCTGAAAGTATCTCTTTCTCTAGCTAATTATCTAACCCTGTGTGCTTTCATAAACAAAGCATCTTTAATGTCTTGCATCCACCTGCGTGGAGGTCTGCCAATGTCTCCTTTTCCAGAAACTGTGGATACTTTACAGAACGTCTCTCTCAGCAAAGCACACCTGAAAGTATCTCTTTCTCTAGCTAATTATCTAACCCTGTGTGCTTTCATAAACAAAGCATCTTTAATGTCTTGCATCCACCTGCGTGGAGGTCTGCCAATGTCTCCTTTTCCAGAAACTGTGGATACTTTACAGAACGTCTCTCTCAGCAAAGCACACCTGAAAGTATCTCTTTCTCTAGCTAATTATCTAACCCTGTGTGCTTTCATAAACAAAGCATCTTTAATGTCTTGCATCCACCTGCGTGGAGGTCTGCCAATGTCTCCTTTTCCAGAAACTGTGGATACTTTACAGAACGTCTCTCTCAGCAAAGCACACCTGAAAGTATCTCTTTCTCTAGCTAATTATCTAACCCTGTGTGCTTTCATAAACAAAGCATCTTTAATGTCTTGCATCCACCTGCGTGGAGGTCTGCCAATGTCTCCTTTTCCAGAAACTGTGGATACTTTACAGAACGTCTCTCTCAGCAAAGCACACCTGAAAGTATCTCTTTCTCTAGCTAATTATCTAACCCTGTGTGCTTTCATAAACAAAGCATCTTTAATGTCTTGCATCCACTTTCGTGGATGTCCGCCAATGTCTCATTTTCCATAAAACTGGATACTTCACAGAATGTCGGTCTCAGCGAAGCACACCTGAAAGTATCGCTTTCTCTAGCTAATTCTCCAGCCGGCTTTTAGTTGTGTGTATCTTTGATATCATGTATCCACCTTCCTAGAGGTCTTCTTCTGCCTCTTTTTCTGGAAACTGTACCCTCCATCACCATTTCCTCCAAGTTAGCATGATGTTAATCATGGCCAAAATTCCCCAACTTTCACAGCAGGATGCTGTTTATGAGCCAGTTCTCTTTGATGTTTACATCATGTATTGGTCCACACAGTATTCTAAGAATTTATCTGTAACATTTCATTAAAAAAAAATTTCTTCTTCAAAGACTTGAGTGAGAGTCCGTGAACAACATCCATAAACTGTAAGGGGAAAGACACATGAGCTCAACATTTGTAATTGGACTCGCAAAGCAGGTGCTGTGCCATATGTTCTTTGTGCTATATAGCTTCTGCTTTGCTAAATCTAGTCTTTTTCTGACTTCTATTGTGTAGTCACCATTGTTTTTAATTACAGAGACTAAATATTCCAAATCTGTGACATTCTCTTAGTTGTCAGTTTTAATATGTCATTGGTGTGCTGTATTCAATGCAGACTTTTGTTTTCAGACTTTAATAAAATATCTGCAGCAATGAACCTCAAGGGCTCGGAATGCTGAGAAGAAGGAGAAGAAGATACATACAGGATGAATGGAGGCAGGTGTGCAGCAATGAACCTCAAGGGCTCGGAATGCTGAGAAGAAGGAGAAGAAGATACATACAGCGAGTAAATACACACAAAAATGTAACAAAGTATTAAATGGAATACAGTAACTGGGGCCTAACAACATATAATTGACCCATAGCGTGACCCCATGATCTTGAACACTGGCACTGTGGGGAAATTTTGACCCAAACATAGCTTTACAAAAGCCATTTGTTTCATAAGAACCCCCCCCCCCCCCCCCCCCACGTTATTTTTAGGATATTTATAAATGTCCTTGCCCACAAAATGCTGAGCAGGAGCTAACAGAACCCTGTGCAGGAGCTAACAGAACCCTGTGCAGGAGCTAACAGAACCCTGTGCAGGAGCTAACAGAACCCTGTGCAGGAGCTAACAGAACCCTGTGCAGGAGCTAACAGAACCAACAGCATTAAACTACACTGAAACAGATCACAGCAGACAGACATGTTTCTCTACGTTTGAAAAGATGGGTTTACAGACTTCCTGTGGCGACAGAGTTAACACTAGACAGATGTCTATAGGACACTTGTACCGGGTTTAACAGTAGACACACACAAGACAAACTTTCACCTGGGTTTAACAGTAGACACACACAAGACAAACTTTCACCTGGGTTTAACAGTAGACACACACAAGACAAACTTTCACCTGGGTTTCACAGTCGACACACACAAGACAAACTTTCACCTGGGTTTCACAGTAGACACACACAAGACAAACTTTCACCTGGGTTTCACAGTCGACACACACAGACAAACTCTCACCTACACAGTAGACACACACAAGACAAACTTTCACCTGGGTTTCACAGTAGACACACACAAGACAAACTTTCACCTGGGTTTCACAGTAGACACACACAAGACAAACTTTCACCTGGGTTTCACAGTCGACACACACAAGACAAACTTCACCTGGGTTTCACAGTCGACACACACAAGACAAACTTTCACCTGGGTTAACAGTCGACACACACAAGACAAACTGGGTTTCACAGTCGACACACACAAGACAAACTCTCACCTGGGTTTCACAGTCGACACACACAAGACAAACTCTCACCTGGGTTTCACAGTAGACACACACAAGAGAAACTCTCACCTGGGTTTAACAGTAGACACACACAAGAGAAACTCTCACCTGGGTTTAACAGTAGACACACACAAGAGAAACTCTCACCTGGGTTTAACAGTAGACACACACAAGAGAAACTCTCACCTGGGTTTAACAGTAGACACACACAAGAGAAATTCTCACCTGGGTTTAAGAGGATCAAAAACTTAAGGCACATATACTCGTGGTAGTCAACCTTCAGCTCTCTTCCCTTCTTGATAAGCTCAAATACCTTGGCTTTCACGTCTTCCAGGCCCAGCTTATCAAAGAGCTCATACCCTATAATATCACCACTGGGCTGATAAATAAAAAATATAGATATATATATAACATAAATATCCGTCAGAATGCATTCAATGTCTACAAGAAATCTGTATCCTTAGTCTCAGCATCATCAATGAGGCACAACACTGCTATCAGTGCCAAACGTGGACACTTACATCCTCCAATGAACGTAAAATTGTGACAACAGATGTGAAATGCCTTAGAAGAGCTGCAGGAGTTTCAAGCAAAGACAGAATACAAAATCATGAAATCAGACGAATGCTAGGAATAAAGCCAGTCTTACAGGTCATCAAAGAACAACAAATGAAATGGTTTGGACACCTAACAAGAATGCCCTGGTACTATCTGCCACAGCGAGCCACACTAAAACGTTACAACGGGTATAAAGCGAGTGGAAGACCTCGGAAAAGATGGAGTGATGGCATTAAGAACAGCCTTACAGAAATGAACATCAGTCTTAATAGTGCTCTTGACAGAGCTCATCAACGAACATTACATATCCCCCCGACACTTCGACGAGGTACAAGGTGGAAGAGAAGAAGAAGAAGAAGAAGAACACTGACACGATGGTCAAGTTAGCAGGTCTAGTACTAAGCTAGCTCTAATTTTTCTGCTTGAAATAGGCTCTCATTTTACTAGTCATTTTCCCAACTCAGCTGTCATCATAACGCTCACTTTCCAGAAATTTTTTTTTGGGGTCTGCTCTACCTGAGTCAATAAAGGTAAGCCCACAAGCAATTTTTTATCTGTGGCCACCAAATTTCACTGAATCCTTACTTCCCCACCCCCACATTATTGTTAACTCTTTGAACCCTAAGGAAAGCATTACGCGCTAACTAGTTACAACCTAGATGCCCAATTGACACGCATAGGTTTTTAATTTACAAATGAACAGCATAAAAATGCGAACCACACAACTGAAACTTTGTTCTTTATGTTCGACAGCACACATGCTGACAATCAGTTTTATTTGGAAATGTGGTTAAAAGTCTAGAATACAGTATGACTGTCAGGTTTACTGTGTTACTAAGTGTTTGAAAACAATATGGCCACCAAGCAGTATTCTATTTGCACGACAGCATGATTTACTATCTTTATAAGAATCAATTTTAAAAAAAAAAATGTGTTTATCAGATCTGTCCAAAGTTAGATTGAGAAATTTGTGAAGCAGATTTGTTTCAGTCAAACTTTGATGCGGGATGGCTCCAATATGTTATATCTAAACCATCTTCTTGTGGGATGCAATTTTTCGTTATTTAGAGCCCACCCTGGCTTTTGTTTGGAGCCCTGGATATAGCTGGGCCACAACTGTGGCCATAGCGGTGGAGAGGGGTTTCTGTGACCTCTCCACGGTTGATCCTCATCCGCATGGTGGTACTTTGAATCACCAGGTGTTTATCGCTTGTTTGATGTCCTGGTGGCGTACAACAAGCAAGCAAGCTCCAATATACAGCTCGTGCAAAATGTACAACGATAAAGTCCGCTGGTAAAAACAATAAATATTAGTTTAAAAAAAAGGTTATTGTCTTCAGTATCAGTTAGTTCTAGAGCTATTCTCATTGTTATTTGGGAAAATAACTACAAAATTACACACAAACTGAGTGTTATATATATAATCTTTGTTTTGTGAGAAGATACTAATTGTTTTGGGAATTCAATTCCTTTTACCAAATAATGGTGCTCTATTATGATGCTCCAAAATTTATCTGGAACAAAATGTAATGTACAGATTGAGTTTATATTTTACTTATAACATTACTAAGTGGTTCATGTTGATTTGGATTTATTTTAACAAGATTTCCTACAGAGCTGTGGTGGTAAGTTGACACATTATTATTTAATTTTAATAATTTCTCTAAACTGGCTGTCTGTTTGTTTATAAATATTTAATGGCTAACACAATTATTTGTTGTAGTTGTATTCCAATATTGTTCCTCAACAATCTATGGTCATTTTGATGTATGTGTATGTTGCAAGGCAGCTGAATTAGCATGGTCTTTTTTAACATGTTACACTTGTGAAATTAAAATATTGCATTGTTACCTATTGGGCCTATATGCTAAACCCACTGGGACTCAAAGAGTTGAATCTGTTAACGCAACTTTACCACTAAAAGTTCTTTACCCCCACATATTACTGATAAATCGTCAATGTAAATTTACCACTAAAAGCTCTTTACCCACACATATTACTGATAAACCGTCAATGTAAATTTACCACTAAAAGCTCTTTACCTCCACATATTACTGATAAATCGTCAATGTAAATTTACCACTAAAAGCTCTTTACCCCCACATATTACTGATAAATCATCAATGAAAATTTACCACTAGCAGCTCTTTACCCACACATATTACTGATAAATCGTCAATGTAAATTTACCACTAGCAGCTCTTTACCCCCACATATTACTGATAAATCGTCAATGTAAATTTACCACTGAAAGCTCTTTACTCCACACATATTACTGATAAATCGTCAATGTAAATTTACCACTAGCAGCTCTTTACCCCCACATATTACTGATAAATCGTCAATGTAAATTTACCACAAGCAGCTCTTTACCCCCACATATTACTGATAAATCGTCAATGTAAATTTACCACTAAAAGCTCTTTACTCCCCACATATTACTGATGAATCGTCAATGTAAATTTACCACAAGCAGCTCTTTACTACCACATATTACTGATAAATCGTCAATGTAAATTTACCACTAGCAGCTCTTTACCCCCACATATTACTGATAAATCGTCAATGTAAATTTACCACAAGCAGCTCTTTACCCCCACATATTACTGATAAATCGTCAATGTAAATTTACCACTAAAAGCTCTTTACCCCCCACATATTACTGATATATCGTCAATGTAAATTTACCACTAAAAGTTCTTAACCCCAAACAGTACTGTTAAATGTGTCATTGCAATATTTACCACCAGAAGCTCCTTGCCCCACACATGATGGATCTGCCGGTAGATAAAGTCCAGGATAAGAATCTCACTCCAACAACTGTGCAGCAGCTTCATCTGATCATCAACCTGACATGAATGTATTCATTATCTGTACATGTGTGTGTTGATACTTACAAAATATAAAATATAAAAAATCCAGCCTACATGGTGAGGTAGTCAGGCCTATTGCCTCGCGCTCTTAAAGTAATGGGTTCATTTTAAGGATACGTCGTTCGGTTCACAAGTTCAACCATTACTCAGACTCCCATTAGTGTTGTTACTTGAGCTATAGTTTTTGTGCTTTTTGCAACACACTCTGTGAAGAGAGAATGAGCCATAAGGGATAAGACCAGGTACAATGAAGTTGATGCTCTTGACTGTTATGTTTCTTCTTCTATGTTTATCGGCTGTAAGCTCTGGCAGAAAATCCTGGTTGTTCGTCAGTTTGGACTTTGGCTTTGTACAAGGGTCTGGGTTTTGCGTATACATCTGTGTTTATTTGCTTATTTGCAGCTGGTTGTTCCCTGCGGCTAGGGCAGATGCACTCCTGCTCCAAAGGAAGTCCTCACTTATTCTACTCCTACTGGTCCCAGAACCCCCAAAGGAACTTTAAAGATTAAATTATTATTTATTTTTTTCCAGTACGAACAGAAGCACTGTCCATATACAACACACTGCCAAAGACAGGCATACACTCCTGACAATACTGATATATACAATATGCGGCAGACACACATACTCACCCGAATTTCCTTGAAGAATGAGGAGTTACGTGCCCATTCAACCATCAAGAACAACAGCTGGTCAACCATCCGACACAACACAGGCAGAAAGCTTTCCGTGGAGAAATTGAGGTCACTGTGTGAAAGCTCGTTCTGCATAAATGTCAGCATCTTCTGCTTCACCTGTTGGACAGACAACAAGCAAACATATGGTAGGGCATCTTTTTGACCTAGCAGCTTCTGTTCTGACAGTCTACATTATCTGCCAGATGCATTACATTGAGTACCCACTGGTCTACATTATATGAATGGTGCATTACACTGAATACCCACTGGTCTACATTATATGAACGATGCATTATACTGAGTACCCACTGGTCTACATTATATGAACGATGCATTATACTGAGTACCCACTGGTCTACATTATATGAACGATGCATTACACTGAATACCCACTGGTCTACATTATATGAACGATGCATTATACTGAATACCCACTGGTCTACATTATATGAACGATGCATTACACTGAGTACCCAATGGTCTACATTATATGAACGATGCATTACACTGAATACCCACTGGTCTACATTATCTGCCAGATGCATTACACTGAGCGCCTACTAGTCAACATTATATGAATGGTGCATTACACTAGTACCCACTGGTCTACATTATATGAACGATGAATTACACTGAGCGCCTACTAGTCATCATTATATGAATGGTGCATTACACTGAATACCCACTGGTCTACATTATATGAACGATGCATTACACTGAATACCCACTGGTCTACATTATATGAACGATGCATTATACTGAATACCCACTGGTCTACATTATATGAACGATGCATTATACTGAATACCCACTGGTCTACATTATATGAACGATGCATTATACTGAATACCCACTGGTCTACATTATATGAACGATGCATTATACTGAGTACCCAATGGTCTACATTATATGAACGATGCATTACACTGAATGCCCAAAAGTCTACATTATATGAACGATGCATTACACTGAATACCCAATAGTCTACATTTTATGGATGATGCATTACACTGAATACCCAATAGTCTACATTTTATGGATGATGCATTACACTGAATGCCCAAAAGTCTACATTATATGAACGATGCATTACACTGAATACCCAATGGTCTACATTCTATGGATGCATTATACTGAATACCCAATAGTCTACATTTTATGGATGATGCATTACACTGAATACCCAATGGTCTACATTATATGAATGATGCACTGAATACCCACTGGTCTAGCATTATATGAACGATGCATCGTTTTTGTAAAAAAGACCATATCTTTTCCAACTTAATTTTACTGCCTGACATACAGGTTGTCTAAACAGCACTGGCTGCTGATGTGCAGCTTGTCTAAACTCTAAACAGCACTGGTTGTTGATGTGCAGATTGTCTAAACTCTAAACAGCACTGGTTTGTTGATGTGCAGATTGTCTAAACTCTAACAGCACCGGCTGCTGATGTGCAGGTTGTCTGAACACTGAAAAGGGTTTGTATCTATAAGAGAGGTTGGCGTATAGATTTGCTCTTCAGTCAGGTAGAGTATCATAGATGCATCGCTCTCCCTGCCAGTGGTATTCAGATGAGAAGGCCACAGGCCTCTATGAAGGTTGTGGTGTGATGCATGTCTTCCATCGATCCACACAGCCAGGTTTCAACTCGAATGCCAACTGGCCGGATCTGAGATCTCTCCTCTGCAGGCAGGGAGTATGTCCGCAGCCCACGGTCAGATTTCATTGTTATGTGTTTGGTATTTTCTGTTGCCTGTCTACGTGGGCATAGTTTTCAGTCCCAAATTGTTACTGTCTCGTACATTTGGCTGCGAGGCCTGTTGCACTGTGTGATCTCCAGAGGCACAAGAACAGAGCAGTTATGGGGTGATCCGTCTGCAAATGTTGAATTAACCCTCTTAGCACGGACGGGCCGATTATCGGCCGGCGGATGTCTGGCCAAAAACACGGAACGGCCGATCATCAGCCCGATCGTGCTAAGAAATCTCCTACTTTGAAACACTGAAAGTGATTCATTTATATTCAGTGCTGTATTAACTTTACACATGGCGACTTTCGAGTGTTTGGTATCGAAGTGAAAATTGTTGTTGAATTTTTTAGATAGTGACCTGAACTGCTAAAAGTATGTCTGACTCGTATGTTTCTGCCCCTAAACTTGATGTTGATAAAACATTTGAATCAAGTATTGACACTAATTCTGTTGATACTGATGCAGGATTTAGTGTTAGTAGTAATAGTGGGAATCAGATGGGGACGCTGTTGTGTTCAGACCACAGCCCAACCATGGCTCAGGGTATATCCACCCGAAGGTGTTGACACTCCGGCACATCCATTTATAGTGCTGACTGATGGTGAAAAACACATGTCACCTAAAGATATTATTGCTGTTTCACATATATATACCTGTTTTTGACTATTGAATTGCTTACAACATTTGTAAAAAGGCCAAAGATCAATCAAAAGATTTCAAATAAAAAAAATTTTTGTTTTTAGTTTTATGTTTCAAGCATTGAAGTTGAAAATTCAAATTTTCTATTTTTAGATATGCAAATGAGATAATTTGCATATACATCAATTAATTTTAACGATATTGTGAAAATCACGAACTTCAATCTATATCCTTCAAATAGATATATTATTTCATAGGGGTCAGAATAACAGAAATCTGTCAAAAAAATTAAATAATGTAATAACCAAATTCACTGAAAAAATGCTCCGTGTTTTTGGCTAGACCTCTGAAAAACTTCCCGGGCTAAAATGGTTAAGAATCAACATCACAGCATTAGGGACACTCCCATCAGCACTCTGACCCCATCTTCAGCAGCCAGCGAAGAGTTCCAATTCGGATGGTACCATAGCTGTCTGACTGTACATAAGTCACGCCTGTTCCACGAGTGTTGAGCGTCAGCCAGACCCCCTGGTAACTCCTCACAGAGCCATTCTCTTAAGACCGTAATGATCTATTTGTGCCTCGGCACCTTTCACTCGCTCCCAAAGCAACCTCACAATATCTAGCTCGTCAAATATCAATTCACCACCAAATAGTACAGAACCGGCCACTCTACCTGCCTGCTCATCTCCCAACACATTAGGATGAAATGCAGAAAAAAAATCCAAAGGACACTAACTACTCAGCACCTTTCAAGTGATGCTTGCCAATCTGCATGGATCATGCCTGTCTCCACCCTTGTGAACACTCTGTGAGTCAGTTACAATTATGACGTGTGTACAGCTTATTCTCAAGCCAGCAGAAGGTAGCAGAGACTGCCTCCACCTCCATTCTCAAACTTGACATTGTGATTTCATATGCCAGGCTTTACTGTATTAAGTGGTGTCTGCAGTGAAGCTGGAACCTCAACTAATGACTAAATTGCACAAATAACTCATGAAGTGACCCTGTGACTGCTATCACTGAGGCTTACAGGAATAATTTTGAGTCAAAATGGCTTTTGAAAAAGCTAGGATTTATAAGGAAGCCCCTCTAAATTCTAGATTTAGTCAATAAATTCACACCCAGGCATTCTTAACAGTACGCCAATGCACACAGAATCAATGGCATATAATTACACTTTTCCAGAGCAGGTCACTGCGTAAACGACAATATATCGGCATTTATGGGGCTGTTCATTTTCATTGGAACCTTTCCGTCTTTCCAGACGATAGTGTTATATTGCGCTATAAGGAGGCATGAGACTCACAGCCCATGGCGATGGAGAGTGTGACTAGCAAGACCCGCCCGTGTCAAGAAAAGTCTTCCACAATGATATCATGGGATTTCAGGACCATTGTTAACGGGGCTGTGCCACAACTGGAAATGACAAGATTTAGTCTTCTCAGAACGATACGGTTATGGCCCTGGCAACACAGTTGTTCTAACAATGCATTTTCAAAAAACAACTAAAATGGCTTGCAAACAAATTCCCCTTGTGGGTCTAAGGCCCAAGTTTGGGGAGAGAAGAGAATACCCACTCACCCTAACCGCCCTCCCCCCTTTTTTTCTTTTTATAAAAGGTATGTCATAAACAGTGACTGATTAAGGGTGGTTACTTTAAAGTCAGAGTGTACACAAATAAGACAAATTTGTAAAAAAGGATGTACATAAACCCAAAACTGAATGTTCTGTAACAAGACAAACAAAATCCCCCCAAAAAAACAAAATTTGCCCCTGGAGTTTTCAGCCAGTGAACACTCAAGAAAAAAAAGATCCAAGTAAACGTGAATCATCCTTACCTCGGATTCATCTACCATGGTTGCTTTAATTTCAGCAATTAGTGGTGACAGCAAAGAACGTTCTGACATGTTGGAAACTAGCGGATCCTGAAAACTCTTCAGACTGTCAATGATCTTGGGGTGTGCTTGAGATGTTACGGAGTAGCTTGGTTCATGCCCACCAAGGCCGCTGCTGCTGCTATTGTTGTTGTTGTGGCCACGGTGATGGGACATGTGGTAATCAGATAAGGCTTGAGTATGTGATGGCACCTGGCGGTACTGGTAGCAATTGAGGTTGGTGTTGTCGCAGTCTAAGGGTCCATTTCCTGTGTGGTGTTGTGGTACGTGGTGCTGGCTGCCACCCATGTGGTGATGCTGTGTGTAGTGGGTCTTTGGGCTCTGAGGTTGTGACACAATCAGGGCTGAGATGTGACCAAAGCCCTGAGGAGAGGAGGATACCGGTAACAAGTTCTGGTGAGACAGCTGGTGGCCTGTGTGTAACATATGATGAGGATATGCTGAAGAAGGAGGAGGAGGAGGAGAGCTGCCTGCAGGCACAGGGACACTGTTTGAAGAGGATGGAGCCACCGCTGTCACAGACAAACCCGGCAAGCCAGGGATCATCCCAGAGACAACGTTTGAGGTAGTTGCAGAAATGGCACCTGTATACAAGTTGAGACTAGCTTGAAGCATCACAGGATCTGGCTTGATGTCTTCAGGAGACTCTGGGATGCCCCCGGTCATTAAACCATTGGTCAGTAGTGATAGATCAGCACAGGAACCATGCATGACCTGAGCCTGCCTCGCTGCTTGTTGCTTTAGGGCCCTGTCTCTTTTGTACATGGGTCCAAATTTGTTGCGGCCACCCCGCATGCGATCCGATCTTACCGCTGTAAAACAAAAACCAAATAAACAATTGTATTTCTGTCAAATGTAATATGTGATTTCACACGACAGGACAAGCTCGTGTAGCTCTGTCTCTCTCTTCCCCTACTCAACAGCCATTAAAGAGTCTCTCCATACTGATGGTACATCTGGTTATCTGGTTAACCACTCATCTTGCATTTCCCTGACTCCTTCCCCTTTTCTTTGATTCAGTAAACGTAAATACATCAAGCCACATTACAAATAAATTCACTGAACACAATTACTGGAAAGCCCAATAAGAGGAAACACCAACAACAACAGAACAGGAACAATCTGAAGTTTGGGCCTCTATCGACAAGAGGCACAGTATAAAGACAAAAAATCCAAGACATCAGCTCCAATATGGGTAAGTGACATTTAAAAAAAAAACTATATGGAAATTGAAATAAGAAATAATAATAGCTGTTGTGAAATGGAACATAAAGTCATGAACAAAATTAGCAGTAACAGTAATCCAGCAAGGCTAACCCAGACAACAAAAGCCTGCAAAGCCAAATGTGTAGGCTGAAAGGCGCAAATATTGTAGCCATGTGTAGTAAGTCATTTTCTCCCCATTAAGTTATGCCCGATAGATGACGTCAGTAATAAATGTAAGGCGAATGTTTTGACTGACTGAGATAACACGAGATTTATGTCTTGAGTTTCGTGAGAGACATCTGAAAGTCAGGTTTTATGTGAAACATGATTGTTCACGTGAACCATGAAGGTTGACTGGCAGGATTCGTGTGAAATGCGAATTATCACGGGCCAGACACGACTTTCAACGGTGGGGAATTCGTGAGAATGAATTTATCCAGAATATTCGAGAACATGACAGATCAGAGGGCTATATAATAGCGGAAAAATGTTTCAGAGGCAGTCTCGTTTAGGCCAAGGGAAGGTGTACGTCAGAAGATGAAGCCCGGAAGAAAGTTGGCGTCTGAATAGCGTGATTTCCCAATGCCTACCTGGCATAAAATAGCGGCTGACGGAAACGGTGGCCAGCTGTGAATGACTGTCGCCTGGATGGATGGAATTACTGTGTTTCGCTAAGTTGTGTGATGAATTCTACGATGTTACAAAGGTATGACTGACTGTTTAGATCATTGAATAAGTAATCGATGAGTGCTACGGTTGTGTATGAACATTTACTGACTGCAACATCAGCGAGTGAAAATAAATGGTACGTGTAACTTCTGAACGTCTACCAGCGTCCATGTTTTCTCGTTCTTGTCAGTTGGTGAATGGAAAGATGCGGTGACTCATTCGAGCCAGCAATTAATAATGAAGAACACTGCACCATGCGGTAAATGGGTCAAACGCAAATAAATCTCTGAATGAACGCAGAAAAAGAAGTAATAGTAATAACAAAAGTAAAAATGATAATTACCTAATTACCACATTACATACAATATGACAAGTCCCCTTAGATGAAATATGTCAAACCATATTTCACATGGGATTTACCATGGCGTTGGCCGCTAGGCGCCCGCCTGAGGATCAAAAGGTCGTGGGTTCATGTCCTGGCTGAGCCCTTGCCTCCCAGGTTGACCCAGCCTTGAGTGGGTAGCAGGTGCAGTCCAGGGAAGTTAAGGCGGCTGGCGTTGTGCTGACCACATCACCCAGCAAGTGTCGGTTGGTCTATAAAAAAATATAGGTCTAGCCCTATATTCCCAATAAGCCTAAAGGTGTCAAAGAGAGACCTTTGCTTACATATTTCATACGATATGTCAAGTCACATTACAAACACCAATTTTCACAACGTATAAAACCAAACATACACTCAGAAATCCTTTTACTTCCAGGAAAACCATATTCTACATCTGTCAAACCACTTCAACTTAGCAGAAATATCTGAGAGAGGATCTAAACACTGAGCTCACCTTCTAACTTCATGCCAACACTGAGACATTTCTGGAACCGGCAGTAAGGACATCGTTTCCGCTGACTTTTGTCTATCTGGCAATTCCTATTATCTACACAAGAGTAGACTTTCTGGTTCTGAACTGTGCGCTTGAAAAACCCTGATGAAAGGATGTGCACAATCAAAACCCTGATAAACAGTTATAAACCATCAAAATTACAGATATGTTATGCTGTGTTAGAGGAGCAGCTGGCCAAACAGTTAGAACACTGGGCTCTTAAGCGGGAGACCTGGGTTTAAATCCTTGGTAAGGCCGGGGATTTTTTCTGTCAGGAGCAAGCAAAATAAAATCCTCACCTGCACAGTCCGTGGCGACAGCACTAGCCATGCGGCCGTAAATCCTTCGGCTCAAAGACTCCCCTGTCTACACCACAAAAGTGGCAATAAAGGCAGTAACTGGCGGTTTTTTAATGCTGTGTTATCACAATTGATGAAATCATACATTGGGTATTCCAATGCATGCTCACTTCTCCAAAGCAACAGCCATTCTAAGGTACCTCTACACCAGGGCTATTCAACTAAGTGGCCAGCGGATCACTGCCAATTATACAGTATTATCAATCTGTCTATGCTGGGATTTGGGCCTATGGCCCGTGATGATCCACATTTTCAACATTTTGTTCACTTAAAAATCTGTTGATTAGCCCTGCTCTACAGACTGTTCAAAAGCAAAGTTGGTTATAATGTCTTATCAACCTCAAAGATGACAGAGGTGTCTCACCAGGGCTAAGTTCCAACACAGTGCAGTGGGCAGCACTGAAGCTGTATTACAAACTTTACAGAACAGTCTTAGGAGGTAACAAGCTAACACCCAAAACTCCCCTTGACATCTTTTAGAGGTAACCCATCTTCACAACTCTCACAGGTAAAAGTAAACACCTAAACTCACCCTGACATCTTTCAGAGGTAATAAGTTGACACATAAAACCCATCTTCACAACTCTCACAGGTAAAAGTAAACACCTAAACTCACCTTTACAACTTTCAGAGGTAATAATTTGACACCTAAAACCCATCTTCACAACTCTCACAGGTAAAAGTGAACACCTAAACTCACCCTGACATCTTTCAGAGGTAATAAGTTGACACCTAAAACCCATCTTCACAACTCTCACAGGTAAAAGTGAACTCCTAAACTCACCTTTACAACTTTCACAGGTAAGAAGGCCATAATGATACCCAGAAACCTTATCACCACACACAGGACAGGGCTCCTCAAATCCAAGTTTGACATCCTTGTATTCAGAGTCCAGCAAGGAGTTAGCTGCAGACAGAAGAGGATCAAGTTTGTGTCACTTCTCTTATTATCATCATCAGATTTTTCGTTCTACTACAATTGCAGTTTGACTAGTTTGTTTTTAGCACCTTTCTATTGTTCCCTTGAGAGATATTGGACCCACATCCCATGGCAAAACCAATCAATGCCAAGGCTGAGGCTACTCCTCCCTACAGCACAAAGGCGGGGCAGTATTACAGCGGCCACGTGTTACCAAACTTCAAAGGAAAGGTAACACCAACATTGTGAACAAAGTATGCAGCAGAAGTTGCCAGAACAACAGTATTGTTTGTCTGCCTGTTGGAGCTTTCTTCCCACCAAGGCTTAGGGCCTGGTCTGCCCTGCCATAATGTTAAAGTTCTCAGGTTGCAATTCCTCATCCTACTATAAGGTTAGTATTCCCCATGATGTGTTCCTTGGTCTGAATCCTAAGAAAGAAAATGGGATTCTGAGCTGAAATGTCATAGCAAGATTCTCACAGAATACCAGACAAAGAAGAGAAGAAATTCTCAATTTTAACAGATCAGCACATCAAGGAAGATTAGCCCTGCTAATCAAACAGCATCTTGTCTTGGAAGCTGAAATATTTTGGTCATATCAAGCACCATGGCGGACTGGGAAAAAAAATAATAGCAGAAGGCGTGGTACCAGGAAGGAGGGGCAGGGGCCGACCAACATTAAGATAGGCGCCGGATATTAGTGAATTTCCAAATTTGTAGGTGCAAAAGGCGGGAAAGCTGGCGAGAGACCGAGTTTCTTTCAGGCAGACAGTGATGAGAGCGATGTTCTGCAAAGGACCTGCTACACAATGATGATGATAATGATAAGTAAGACTTTTTTTCTTTATGTGCTCTAGCTTGGCACTGATTGAAGCTGTGAAGACTGCAATGTTCCACAAGACTTTATTTAATAAGTCTCTTTTGTTGAATTCTGGCAACTAGCGATTCATTTTATTGTATATGCTCATGGAAGTGGCACAGAGATCTGAAGACACCTAGCATCAGTATGTTGTTCACCGTTATACTTTAATCATTTATCCAACGATGCAGACTGTGTAACATTATTTAACAACATTCCCAAATTATTAACATTTACAGCATTAATAGTAAAGATCACGGCTTTTTGTTTTTGTTTTTGACATGAAACTAGAAAATGATTTCTAGAGAGAGAATAGGTGCTGGTACTCATTACAAAGTGTCTAAACAAAGATGCTGGTACTCAATACAAATGATCTGTTATAGTAGTGATGTTCCTTTTGTGTAGGTTCCAAGGCCCCATTGTAGGGAGGGGGCGGCCCTATTGTAGAGAGGGGGCGGCCCCATTGTAGAGAGGGGGCGGCCCCATTGTAGAGAGGGGCGGCCCCATTGTAGGGAGGGGGCAGCCCCATTGTAGGGAGGGGGCGGCCCCACTGTCCCCCAACAAGCAAGTCATAAGTGTTGATTAATTATGGATGTTTCCTTCAAGGTTGGAATGCATCTGCCTGAGAGGCAGGAAACCATCAGTCTGCACACATATAAGCCACATTTTTAAAACAGATGTGCATAAAAAATTCAAGTTTTAGAACCAAGACTGAAGTGCAAAGTGGACAAACAACTACTGGGGTTGCTGGTGAATGTGAAAAAGAAGTAGCAGCAAAGGTGACCCCACAAAAAAGTGCTCATATTCATAAAAGATGATTGTACTGCATACTGTTACATATTGTAACATCAGAAACAAAGCCTTGGGTAAAAGTACAATTACAAGTTAACAGGTTATTTTTCTAATACCAGCGCTACAGTCGTCATTACAGCTTTTCATCGTATTTAAGTGTGTATTAGCTATGAAGTGGAAAATTTTATTAAAACATAAAAACTAAGATAAAATTAAAGACAGAAATACATTTTTTGTCTCTCTTTCGATCTTCGTCACCTATGGCAGCCAAACAAATACCCTAACAGGGCCTCAGTCGTGTGTAAAATTTGGACTTCCTCTGAAACTAGGATTACTGCCCATTGAAAATTTTGAGAAATGCAACAATACACATGATTAATAGCGACATGGATCTATCAAACAGTTCAAGTTTAGTAGCAAACATCTGAAGGCACCAAGACAAACGGCTTCTATATAATACTATAATGACACTATTATTATACGAATAAAAAGCAAAATTAATTTTATTGATAAAGCAGTTCATCATTAGAAAAAAACTCCCGACCGCGAACATGCAGTGAATAATAAGATTTCATACAAGAATATAACAAAAACTGGTAAATTCTACAATTAATGACTATGTAATTTAATGTATTAAATTTGTACCATTGGGTTCTTCCTTGAAAGTCATTTCTATGAGTTCAGCATCATGAAGAGCAACTCGAGAAAAGGCGCCGGGGGTCGGGGGTGTTCCGGACTGCTGCTGTAGCTGATGGTTTTGGGGACGCCCCGGCGATCTGACAACCACATCAAGTTGATGATGCTGATACTGCTGCCCATCGCTAGACCGGTCGGAGAACTCTTCGTCGCTCAGATCCAGAATTTCGCTGGTCTCGATCATAACAGAATATGCTAGCTTACGTCACAGAAGTGCTTTAGATTCATATTTCGCAGTCAAAGGTGCGAGACTGGAGCAAAGATCGTAGAGGAAAGATTGTGTGTTTATATGGACATCTTGTAGCAACTTCTGCTTTCAACGCCAGTTCCTTCTTTCCAGTGTTATCGCGCATGCGCTGACCAGTACAAAGTTTATCAAACTTTAGTAGTACTAAGTACTGGATCAATGAAATTTAGTATCAAGGGTCAGATGACAATTTATATAGTGGGGAAAAGAATAATGGAAAGTTCATTGTTGCCTCCATTCACCATTGTCTCGCCGGTAGACGACTTCGTCGCTGGTCGGGAAAGCCTTTGGGTCTATTTCCTTTGATCGTATCAACACTGCAGGAATCCTTTTCAGGGCTTTTGGTGGCTTGCAAGTTTAAGACATTTTATATACTGTTAAAAAAAAAAGAAACGCATAGTTACTGAAAGGAACAAACCTACTCACAATTTTGACATTCTGCATCTTCGTAATGCAGTAAGTGAAATTACTCAAATTTCACACAAGAATACATTAGGGTTACACTAATCATTTTACACCTTTTTTTCCATCTGGGTCACGATAGTTTTTAATTAAGCGTAGGTCTCTCCTGTTAGTATGGTGTGTGGCCTCCTCTTGCGTGGATCAGTGACTGGCATCTCATGGGCATGGTTGCTATCAGATGTCTGATGTGGGTCTGTAGAATGGATGTCCGCCCTTCCTGGAGTGCCTATAACAGATCACGACCATTGGCTGGAGCAACGTTTCGGCGACAAACACGTCTTTGCAGCTCATCCCACAGGTGCTCAATCGGACTCATGTCTGCAAACAGGGATGGCCAGGGAAGGGTTTAAATGTTATTGGCAGCCAGGAACTGCGTGGTCAACTGTGCAGAATGGGGTCTGGTGTTGTCCTGTTGTAAAAGGTATCTGTTGGCATCCCAAAATGGAAGGACATGTGGTCGAAGAATTTCATGGACGTATCGTTGCACATTCAAGCTTCCTTCAGTGTGCACCAATTGACTCCTTCCGTTGTAACTGATCATTCCCCATACCATTACACCTCCACCACCATGCCTCAGAGCTTCATCAACACAATTTTGGGCTAAACCTTCATTACGCCCACGGTAGACCCTACGCCGTCTATCATGACGCTGCAACAAAAAGAAAGATTCGTCACTAAACAAGACACGTCTCCACTGATTGTCACTTGCCCAGGGACGATGTTGGTTGGCGACGCGTAAGGACAGGTCCTCGGTGTGGTCGTCGAGCCCAAAGTATAGCATCATGCAGTCTGTTCCGAACAGTTTGATCAGACACATGACGTCCTGGAGGCAATGTCTGTACAACTGAGGAAGCTGTTGTAAACCTGTCTCTGAGGTAGCGAAGCTGAATAAAGCGATTCTCTGCTGCTGTTGTCACTCTGGGGCGTCCACTGCGATGTCGGTCCTCAACTGAACCAGTGGCTTGGAACCGGTGCCAGAGTCAACTGATGGTACTCTGGTGCACGTTTAGATGCCTGGCAACCTGACTTTGACTTTCTCCTGCCTGCAATCGGCCAATAGCAACATCCCTTAAATTTATCGATAGAGGCGCCATTCGTGACTTTTTTTAAAATGAACTGATCATTTTTGTGTAGCGTTATCCTTTTTTTAGGGTTTCAATTGCGTAGACAGTGGCTAGTGTTCACCGCAAATTGTGTTGCTCTCTCGTGCGCACATCGTGAGCTATGCCCACAAATATGGTCTTAAACACATTTGACCACTGCGTTGCAGTGATTATAAAAACCCATGCAATTCACGCCCATATGTCCACTGGACACGGTAAACAACATTTGAGTCTGCTTTTCACACTTCCGAGTACGGTATTTTATTTACAAACTTATAAAAACGCGCGATCGGATAACTATGCGTTTCTTTTTTTTTTTTTTAACAGTATTTTTCGCACATAACCTATTCATAATTATAACCTGGGTGTTTCAGCGGTCTCGATGTATGGTATCAGCATGTAGTTCTGAAGGTCACGGGTTCAAACCTCGGTGAAGGTTGGGATTTTTTCTCGTGGACTTCAAGTAATTTCCCACGTTCTCTGGGTCGTAAGATCGGACGCCCGTATGTATTGTTGCGCATGTAAAAAATCCCATGGCAGTTGGAAATTAAAAAAAGAGTAGCCTAACGGCCCTGCCCAGGAAAAATGTGGAGTTAAAAATCTACCCAAAGTATTTCAGGATCCTCGCCAGTATAACGGAGCTCGTGCCCTGTGCTTAGATTCTTCAGACTCAGGCTTGAGTTAGAAGTAGAAACGGAGCGCCTATGGGTTACACCCGTGTGTCACGATGTTGATCCGTTGAAGAAACAAACAAACAAAATCCAAAGCTCCCCCTTCAGGGAAGCTGCTTTAACGTTACGATTTTCTGCTCCCAGCAAAGCACATACCTACCTGAATGGAAAGTGTTTGAGTCTCTTACTCTCACTGCACTTTAGGTTAATCTCGCTGGTGTCACCTTTTCGGATGCCGCAATTATAACCTATTTGGAGCTTGAACAGGGCATGTGCAAAAGGGGAGACCGAGAGAGAAAGTTCTGAACATTCTGGACAGTGTAACGTCATGGCATGGACGATGATCTGTGTCAGATTTGATTGACAGTACACGAGGCAGAAGGTTGTGGGTAGACATGACTACCAACGTCATACGGCAGGGGCTAGAAGAAAAGAAGAGATAGAAGAAGAGAAAGAAGAAGAAGAACGAGGTATATGGGATTTGCGCTATTGATCTGCCATCCAGTCTGAAATGTTATAACCCATTTTCAAACTTGCAGGTAACCGGGGGGAAAAAAGGGGGGCGGGGGCGCAGCATTCACACGAAAACAATTGGCAATAACCTGGGCACATCATGAAGAGAAGCGAATCACTAAAAGGCAAGGAGTTAGGAAATAATCAGGCTGCGGAACAATGACACCAAAGAGCAGCTATGACACAACCGCTGGTGAGAAATGCCAACGGTTCTGAATTGTATCCATAATACTGAAAGGATCGCATGTGACAGAACGGAATGAATAGGGTGACCATACTTCCCGTTTTCAAATTTTCCCTTTTAGAAAATACAGGAATAAGCTCAATAATAGTACATACACTTAAAATACTGAAGGGGAAGGCGGGATGTACAATTAGTTATTCATCATCATCAGTTCTCGTTATGCCTAGTGGCACATGAGGCTTCAGAAAGGACTTTCCGTGCTTTCCTGTCCTGTACAATCTTCAGTGCAGTTTTCCAAGTCGAAAATGCCGCACTCAGGTCACTTTCCATCGTTCGTCTCCATGTTGTTTTTGGGCGCTCCTGTTATGCAGTTTATAGTTCTGCATTTCTTTAATTACTTGGGCGGTTTTGGCCGTTTCAAACATGGTTCTTACATTCCAGAAGCCAATTCTTAATTTGGTTTTGACATTCCAGCAGACTTTTTTCAATCATGGCACTTCCTTTCGGCTTTTCACCCATGTTGTTCATGCTGACAGAGGGACTCATGTCTCCAAGACCACCAGACGTTTAGAAAACTTATTTCTCTTGAAGTTTCAGTAACGTTGTAGATTTTTTACAGGGCAGAGCTGTCAACACTGCGCCCAACCCCCGAGCCTGGAGGACCGGGAGGCCATCTTTAGTCTGGCCTCTCACCAATTAGTTATTCGTTGCATCGGAATTAGAACTCTGCGCTTGCTGCTGCAGATGCTATGATGTCGGTTCTTAATTCAACATTCAACATACAACATAGACTGTAGTTATATCTAGAGACCGTATTATATTTCACAGGTGTCGACACTTTTTTTGCTGTATGTTTTTGATGAGAATTTCCACAATAGCATTTTTTTTTCAGTGCACATTGTTTCGTTTATTTTTTGACGGCACTGATTATAGTTTTAAAACCATCTCCAAGAAGTAATTAACTAGTTCACCCCTGACTTTAAGACGACGTCAGCAACCAGGTCGCCAATTTGCTCGCCGGTAGACTACTTCGTCGCCGGTCGCGACAATATTTGGGTCAGTCTCCTTTGAGCGCATCAACACTACCAGAGTCCTTTTCAGGCTCTTGGTGGTGTGCAGTGCTAAGCAATTTTATATTGCACACATAACCTAGTCATAATTATAATCTAAAGCTCCCCCTTCAGGGATGCTCGTGATGTTTTTTTTTTCCCCACAAAATACCTACCTTCGACCTAAGACGAAAATAAACGGGGGGAAAAGGTAGAGGTTACAGTAACTTAACTTGGATGTCCCGTTTTTATCATCAAATTATTAGAGAGATGATCCCTTTTCAGTCCAAAATATTATGAAGGATCTGACTATAAACCACTGGTTCTCAACCTTCCTAACGCCGCGAACCTTGAATACAGTTCCTCATGTTGTGGCGACCCTTAAATACAGTTGCTCATGTTGTGGCGACCCTTGAATACAGTTGCTCATGTTGTGGCGACCCTTGAATAAAGTTCCTCATGTTGTGGCGACCCCCAACCATTCACTTATTGTCGTCGCTGCTTCATGACTTCAGTGAATATTTGTTTTGCAATGGTCTTTGGCGACCCCTGTCAAAGGGTCGTTCGATGCACACAAAAAGCGGTCGAGACCCGTAGATTGAGAACCGCTGCTATCAACCCTTTGTGACGTGTAGCGCCATGAACATGACGATGCTGTTGAGATAAACAGGGCAAGAAGTACGCGTCGCTTGTGGATCCGAAGATTGCGGGTTCAAATCCGAACGTAGCTGGACCTTTTTATTTCAGAAATGACCTTGGCTCCCAGGTCGACCCAAACTTAAATGGGTACCAGGTACAGACCTGGAAAGTAAAGGCGGTTGGTGTGATGCTGACGACATCACGCACTGAGTGCCGACTGGTCTATAAAGAAATTAAATGCATACACACATTAAACAGAACTAAAAGTCAAGTGCTAAGCACCAGCAAGGAAATCGGAGTTTAAATGTTGAGAGTA